ACTGGCTTGTAACCATCTGAGCTTGGTGGGCGGAGTGGGCACTATTTACCTGGCACATGGGCCTCTGCCCTCCCTGAAGCCACCCATCTGGAGGTGCTGCTGTGGAGGCTGAGGTGCTGGAAGCCTGGGAGGGGTTAGACCATCCTTGTCCCCCCCCTCCCCCCCCACGTGTCTGGCACTTGATCCCTTGGGCAGCCACACTGACCCGCCCTGAGTGACTCCTGCCCAGGGGACCCCGGTCTGGCCCACACGAGGCCAGTCACAGGGCCAGGGACTAGTGTCCAGTCGCTTTTATTGCAGAAGGGGTACAGTGAGCAGGCCCTGGGGGTCCCGGAGCAGTCAGTCCCTCCGCAGGTTCTTGAGCCGCTCCTCCAGGTCTGCGTCGGCGTCCACCAGGGCGGAGGCCGCGGCCTCTGCTTTCTTCCCTCCAGCAGCCACACTGAGGGAGCCGCCGGTGGAGGGGAGGTCTGCAGGGAGAGGGGTTGGAGCCCCTGTGAGAGCAGCAAGGCAGAGAGGGGTCGGGGTGGGGTCAGGGGCCAAGGCCGGACGCACTCACTGGATAGTTCGTCTGTCAGGCTCAGTCCCAGCTCATCCAGGACCTGGGACACCACAGCATCACTGGGGAAGGAGAACGCGGGTCAGTCCCTCTGGGGGCCAGGCCTCCATCCCCTCCCCCACCTGGTGTCCACAAACCTCTCCTCTTCGTCGTCCTCGTCTCCCATGGCATCGTCGATGGCATCGTTCATCATCTCCTCCTTCATGTCCATGATCTCTGCCTGCCTCTCAAACTCCATCATGATCTTCTGGATCTGGGGCAACTTCAGCTGCAATGGGGGGAGGGTGAGTGTGGCCCCGAGGTGTGGGGCGCCGAGGGGGGCGGGAGGGACGCACCTGTCTGTTCATGGTGCCCATGGCCTTGGTGACACCCTTCATGGCTTGCGCCATGGAGTTGTTGGACTTGAGTGTCTGGATCTTGAGGGACACGGCCTGGATGTTGGCCCGCATCAGCACGAACTTGCGCACGTAACGCCGCGTGCGCACCAGGTCCTTGGCCATGATGCGCACAGCGTCCTGAGGGGGCAGAGGTGGCAGGGAGCCACGTTCAGTGGAGAACTTCCGAGGCCTCCCCTGTGGCTAACCCCAGTGCTCACACTGCTCCCAGCAGCCACTGCACGGGCTCCTCACTTCGACCCGGTGCCTGAGGCCCCGCATTAAGCGCCCGGAAGACAAAACAGGCTGGGCGCTTAACGTGTTAACAACCCGTTCATAGTTCCCATGTGGCCAGGAACCTGCTGCCCTCCCAACCTCTCCCCAGGCCTGACCCTCAGCCCCAAATCCCTTCCTGGCCTTGCCCA